TGTATATTGACTGAACTGATACCAATACATAAGAAATGGTTCTGGTGGAGAAGGAAGAAGTAGGAACTGCTATTTTTACTTCACTCAGTTTTCTGGTTATTGCTAAACTGCATGAGCTCTATTCTACCAGCTTGGTTTTCCTCTTTAAAGGAGTTTCACAACCAGCAGAAGTTTGGGGAAATTACATCAGGACACGGACATGGCTCCCTGTATCTCCTCACAAGTAAAATAATTCCCATTTCCTTTCTTACTCTATGAGTAGCCAAAAGGTAACCTCGGAGATATGGCCACTGTCCCTGTGATACTGAACTAACAATGCTCTTTACTACAGCACCTCCAACAGAAGTCAGTGTGCTGTCTTTTGCAAATGTGTGGTCTAAAGATATTTTACGCATATTTTCACAAATTAGTAAGTATGTCTCAGCTCCGTGTGCCACGTTTAATAACACAAAACTGACGGAACCACAAGACATAATGAGGCAATAATAAACACTAGATTTAAATTCATAGAAGCAGGAATAGTGACAACACAGGTCAAACTTCCAATTGCTTAATGTGCATTTTGATATTGAATGAGCTTCTAAGGAGGGAATAAGTGGGTTATATATCTTGGATGCAGGCTGACTCAAGGATGTTCTGTCAGGATAAATTTTAGAACTAAAATGGAATGACACAAGCCAGAAAACCCCAGACTCTGACACTTCTAATTGCTTGAGAGTTTACACCAAACTTCTATTATTTTAATTATCAGATTTGTCTCTACCTATCACAGACAGGACTGCTACAAGTGCCTCTTACAAAAGCTTCCCCATGCCTCCCTTTATGAGACTGTGTTTTACTTTACTTGCAGCTACCCAGTTTTGAGGTTTGAATGGAATTTCCTACATCAAGTACCATTTGTGTGTCACTTTGTGGGAAGGTTAATCCAGAATACCTCAATCAGTCCATGGATAAGACTAAGGAAAGCATGGATTTCAGTATAATACAGTTGTTTGAAGAAGAAAAAGTTAAGTTTGAAAAGGCAACATTAAATTTAAATCTTTGGCCAAGAAAAACTAAAATTGAAGTCATTATTACAATTATTACAATTGTAAAGTCAATTGTAGAGTCAAGCAGTCAGGTTGGGAAGCACTAGAACTAGAGGCTAATATCTACCAAAAAACTTAGAGGCAGAAGACAGTGTGTACTGTTCACATGAGACTGTCACAACAACAGTGACAGGTAACAGCAACATGGCTTTGTAAACAGAGTTTCAAAATCTCTCACTGAAAACAGTAAGATACAGGCTTCTAAGAAACTCAAGGAAATCAAACTGGGGATATTCTCCACCAAAGAAGTCTAAAATTTTCAGTCTTGTCAGCAACTTAATACTAAATTTATAATGGCAAGAGTCAAAGTAGGAATAAAGCAACAACCCAGGTCAAGAAAACAAAAAACACATACAAGTTTTATTTATTTTATTTAGAAGTAAAATAAAACGTGACATTTCCATCTAGAAGCCACTGGCATATGCTGTGGTAAATTCAAACACGGAGAGTGGGTTTAGCTTTCAGATTCCCCCCAAACTCAACTTCTTCCTTTTGCACGGGAGCTTTGTGCAAGCTCTGATACACCTGAGGACACCTCTGTTTTAAGGCAGCCGCTGGAGTTCAAACTTATCAGCAGATGGTGCTTCAAAGACATCATCTTCAACACTTTCTTCTATTGGCTTCATCTTTGCTGAAGTTCTCAGGTAGGGAGATGTCCGGCCTGGGCCTGCCACAGTTACAAAGAAATTACCAATTAGTTGAACCAACACACACCTGTTAGGTACACCTATTTAGGACAAATTGTACACAATCTGATGATCCCAACCTAGTTGCCTCACAAGAGGATTTTATAAGCAAAGGTTTTCTTGTTACCTGGCCACAGGCACCAGGAAATTTTAGACACGGGACAGCCACGCTGCTATGAACCAGCAACACCTCTAAGGTTCAAACCCTGTTGTTAACCACAGACACGGTATTCTCCCCAAATTCAGTACAAACCCTGACTGAGCAAGGTGCCCACTGTTTGTGTCCCTGGTGATCATTTTCTCACCATGACACTCACCCACTGACTTCATTCCATTCAATTACAGCAGCACGGATGGCTGCCCTAGGCACAAAAGGTGTGTACATTTGCACACTCACTTGGCTGTGCAAAAATTCCTCAGCGTACTGGGCAGACCTCAGGTGAGCACATGATCAAAGCCCTAACTTTGCTGTTAAAGCATAAAATCATAGAACACCCTGAGCTGGAAGGGACCCAATAGGATCAAAGTCCAGCTCCTGGCCCTGCATAGAACACCCCCAAGAATCCCACCATGTGCCTGAGAGCATTGTCTAAATACTTCTTGAGGTCTGCCAGGTTTGGTGCTGTGACCACTTCTCTAGGAGCCTGTTAGAGTGCCCAAACACCTCTGGGTGAAGAACCTTTACCTACTATCCAACCTAAACCTCCTCTGACACAGCTTCGTAAATTTTGCACAGCATATATTAATATAAAACTTATAGAAGATACAAACCCCCATAAACAAACACAGAGAAAACATAAAACTTTTGACTGACGATGATTTCACTGCAACAAAACTACCTTTTAGAAAAGCAGCAGCTTGTCTGCCGGAGCAGAGCACACACTGCAGCTATTCGTGACAAGACATTAAATGCAGTTTTTGTGCAAGTTACCACTGCAAACTACCTCTATTGCAGTCAAATTTTCAGCATGAGGGCCAAACCAAAGAAACTCTCTGACACCGGCTGAACAGTTTTGTTTTCCATTGTTCACTCTTAAATTGCATCTGCACTTGGACATGTTTTTCTCTCAGTACCCTCTTCTAGAGTTAGACCACTACAATGCTACAAGGTTGTAAACAGCTAGGATATGATGATCAAAAAGATTATGGAAAACTTCAAAATACCATTTGAGAAGAAAAGAGCATAAGACAGTCTGTCAGCAGGATCATTGTTCGCACAGAAGCTAAAAATTCAAATATTCTTGAAAAAAATACTGAGAGCCATAGCACAGTCTTATTTTAAAAAAAGTTTATCAAATATACAGTGAAGTGCTGTGTTAAGGAAGCCTATTTATGAGGAAGGACTCATTAGCAATGTATGTGTTACACACAGAGAACAAAATACAGCTACAGGCAAGACCAGCAGGTTATCGTATAACTGCATTTTTAAGTCACATTCACAAAGACACTGTTTGGAATTAGCTTTTTGGAACTCTTTTATGTTAAAAATTTATTAGCATTTTCTTTTGACATTTAAAAATTACTTAAACTGCCATGATACAGAGTTACTCAAAGACATTTTTAAGTACCGGAATTGTTAAACACTTCTTTTCACACAGATGGGTTTTATGGCCTAAGCAAAGGATAACTAAACCCAAAGTTTGTGGGTACACTTGGAAATGAAATAGACTTCTCTGGGAGACACCAACAAATTACACTCAAAGGTGAAAGTCTGCCTGAAAATGCTGAGTTAGCTTCAGTTTCTTTTTGCCCCCCCCCCCTTTTTTTTAATAGTTTATTACTATTTTTAGAATGGTTTTCTTTTATTTAAAAGTACTTAGTTTTCTCCAGAAGTAAGAAGCCATAAGTCTGTTTAATAGCATATAAGGTCTAATTCTCTCATCCTCATTCCCTCATCCATTGTTTCAAATACATGCTCTTATTTGCTCTAAATACAAAAACTGTCTACTGATGCCTCTATCCAGTGTTGGGTCTCTATCCAGATGTTCAAGTGACTGAGTCAGACCTTCCATCCACTACATTCTGTTGCCCTTTCCTGAGGGCCTAAGCCAAAATACACATTAGAACTTCCACGAATCCCAGTGCTGCTTTTAACCACAAACTGGGTATAAACATAAGGATCATATAATTTGATAATACCACTAAAAGTACTACCAAACCTAAACCTTTCTACATTCCAGCTTAGCTTAAGAGATAGCAAATACAGATTCGTAGACCAGTAGATCTGAACTATTTAAACTAAGTACCCCAGAAACAGACGGTATCACTAGTAAGTACGTGAATGACCATCAAGCAGCAGAATCATGGAATAGAAACTAATACCAAAATATTTTTAAAGGACTGAAAGTTAAGTGAAGTTACGCTTGTGATCAGGTTGAACTATTTTTGTTTAACTCAAATTTTGGAAAAAGAGATACACCTATTTCACTTACTAATGGTTTACATACAGATGGACCATGGATGTCAAGCACAAGTGTCACACGATAAACAAACCCCACTTTAATACCTTTTTGAGGATGCCTGCTGAGTTAATGTGATGTTATCAACAGAAAACATCATGCTGCAAACGACTCACTCCGTAAGCATTATAGAACTCTTGTTGGTTATTTCCTTAATATAAAAGCAAACAGTTAGTTGGGTTTCTTAGTTAATTAAATTCAAAACACAGTTTTGTTAGTAATCATAGTTTGGGACATACTAATTAGTATTTTTAACCCTTTCACTACTAAACACTTTGAGAATAGCTTTGTAGCAATTTCCTGAGAAAATGAGCCAAAGCTTATTGTTTGTAGCACTGATAAAACCATAACTTTAAAAGTTGGGATTATACAAAAATATAAATGCTCTTTTTTTCAATAATATGGAAATAAGGAGAAGAAAACGTATTTGTACTGCACTAGTAAAACATCATGTTTGTAATGGGAAGCTTTTGTCCACACAACAATCACCTAGCAATGACTAAACAATATTCCTGTAAAGCTCCCGTACAAAAAAAAAAAAACCAACCAGGTTTGTAATTTCCAAATGTTTCTCACAAAATCTTCTGAGGATTTTGGATTGTGTTTGTTTGTTTTAAATAAACAAATGTATGATTCCAGAAGGGGGACCCAGGGAACAGCACTAGGGCTGTAAGCCTCAGCATGTGCCTTATACTGAATCTTAAAAAAAATAAAAAGAAAAAAATTAGACAAAAAAACACCTGACTGCTGCATTGAGAGCACCCAGGAAAAGGTTTTTGAGAACACAGTGCTAAGGTAAATGGCAGGGGTTTTGTCTGGTTTTCCCTGTGATCTGAGAAAATGTGTACACATGGCCACAATCCACAATGAACACAAATCTTTAAGCAGAGCTCACCTTGGTAGCAAGCCCATCACTGGTAGTGACAGTGCCCAGCAATAACTAACAAGCTATCTTGGTAAAAAAAAAAAATTAAAGCATTACAGTTCAAGGAGATAAATAAACCTGCACTATGAATTTTTATCAACCTTTTACAGAAGTCAGAAATTTAAAATCAAAATGCAGAGAAGATATAAATGACGATATTTCCTGAGGTGTATACTGCACTGCTGTATGGGCAACCCCTTTGCCTCCCCAAAAGTAAGGGAAAGTATTGAACTCAGGAGGCTGCTGCCTCAGTTGGACTGAGTGAGTTCAGAACACAAAAGACATTTAAACCCCTCTTCTGGGGGAAGTATACCCTATACACCAAAAAAAGAGGTACACAAACCAAGGAAAATACAACAGAGAAAACTGTATTTATCAAGTATGTGCTAAGCACTAATGCATCTTGGGGATTTACTTAATTACAGCTGAACATGTCATACATTTCAACTACTTTCTCCCAAAGCTGAAACAATGATGTGTTTTGCTGTTAAGCCTGAAAAAGACATTTTAATTCTAACTAATTGCACAAACACAGTTTTACAACTTCTTTCAGGCTTCTGAGTGCACAGATTCATCCAAGGGCTCTCTACGCAAAGGAGTGGCTTCAATTTCATGGAACTTTGCTGTGTGTGGAACAGGTGAAAAGCCACTCAAGAGTTTGTGGGTGAAGAACAGACCAACACAGGAGACTCCATGGCAGGTAGCTGCTACAGGCTGACTGATCCAGAAGAGCAAGTAGATGGAAGCCTCCTTTCAACAACTGGATCACAGGCCTTGTACTTGTGGGGAACTTTAACCACCCCAGTGTCTGGTGGGAAGGCAACGGGGCTGGGAGCAAGCAGTCCAGGAGACTTCTGGAACGCAGCAGAAAATTTCTTCATACAAGTGATCGCTGAGCCAACTAGGGAAGGCACTCTGCTGGACCTGTCACTGATGAACAAGGAAGAACTCGTCAGGGAGCTGAAGGCTGATGGCAATCTTGGCTGCAGTGTCCAGGATTTGGTGGAGTTTAAGATACTGAGTGGTGCGCAAGACAAATGGTAGAAGTACAACCCTACAGGTAAGGGAACTCTGGCTTGCTCAGGGTTTCACTTGGCAGGAACCCATGGGACATGGCCCGCAGAGGTAAAGGGACCCAAGGACAGATGGCTGATCTTCAAGGACACCTTCCTCAAAACATAAGAACAGTCTGTTCCAGTGCACAGAAGGTTGAGCAAGTGTGGTAGAAGGTTGGCATAGATGAACAGCAAAGTCCTGACAGAGCTCAAACACACACGTTACACAAAAGCAGGCATGAGCTCCTTGGGAACCATGACCCAAACATGCAGTGATGAAATTAGGAAAGCCAAAGATGAGCTAGACCTGGATCTTGTCAACAGCAACAAGAAAGGCTTCTACGAATACACCAGCAACAAATGAAAGACCAGTGAAACTGCAAGGCCACAGCTCAGTGATGCACAAGACTCAAGGACATGAAAAATTGTAAGATATTCAATTTTGGGGTTTTTTTGTGTGTGTGGGCTTTTTTGGTCGGGTTTTTTGTTTGTTTTCTTTTGGTTTTTTTTTTCTTTTTACTTTACAGGTTTGTCCTGAGGCCACCCAGGTCTCTAAGTCCAGTGGTAGAGACTGGGAGAGCAATGCTTGACTTACAAAAAAGTTGGGTGAGTTAGGGACTATTTAAGTCAACAGGACAAACACAGGACGGTGGAACCACATGGGCTGCATCCAAAGGTGCCAAGTGTTGGCTGCTGCAACTGCAAGACCATCTTGGAAAGACAACAGCAGTCAGGGGAGGCAGAAAAAGGCCAATATCACGGTCATTTTAATGAAGAGTAAGGAGGAGCACCCAGGGAACAACTGGCCTATCAGTCTAACCTCAGTTTCCAGGAAGATTATAGAGCTTGTCTTCCTGGAAGCCATGTCCAAGAACAGGAAGGATGGGAAGGTGACTGGGAACAGCCAGCATGGTGAGATGAGGTGGTGAGATGACTAGCTCTGTGGAGAAATGGAGTACAGTGGATGTTGTTTACCGGGATGGTAGCAGGGCCCTTCCCAGTCTGCCACAGAATCCTTTCAGACAAATGGGTAAGAACCAGACTGGATATACGGACTATAGCTTGGGTGGATAATCTGCTGGACCACTGAGTTCACAGGGTGGTGAACAGCAGCACAAAATCCAGCTGTCAGGTAGTTACCCCTCGAGGGCCAGTGCCAAGGCCTATAATATTCACAATATATTAATGACCTGCGTGATGGGGTGGAATGCACTCCCACCAAGTTCACAGTCAAGTAGTGAGGGAAAGTGAGGGCCAGAAGATAGGGCAGCAAGTAAGAATTGACCACCACAGACTGGGGAAAAAACCTGACAGAAACTACAAGAAGTTCAAGAAAGGCAAATCCCTGCACCCGGGACACAACAAACCTACACAGCATTACAGCCTAGGCACGAACTGGTTGGAAAAGCAGCTTTGCAGAAACAGACCTGAGGGTCCTGGCGGACACAAAATGGAATATGAGTCAGCAGAGTGCCCCTGCAGTCATGAATGCCACTCATACACTGGACCATATTAGCAGCATATATTGAGCCATGTAAGCAACAGCATTAGCCAGCAGATCAAGGAAAGATATTATTCCTCTCTATTTGGCACTTGTGAGACAGGATCTGGAGTACTGTGTCCAGTTTTGTGCCTCCCTGTACAGGAAAGACATGGACATACTGGAGGCGAGTGCAGTGGAGAGCAACCAAGATGGTCAGAGGCTGAAGCAGGTGACGTACATGGAGAGGCTGCAAGAGCAGGGTGTGTTCAGCCTTAGGAACAGAAGGTTCTCAGGGGATCTGACTGTTGTTTTCAGCCACTTAGTGGAAAGGTATAAAGAAGAGAGAGCCAGACTCTTCTCGGAGGCATGCACTAAAGAACAAAGTACAACAACAATGAGCTGCAATAAGGGAAATTTTTTTCACCATGAGGGTGGTAAAGCCCTGGAATTGGTTGCCCTGGGAGGCTGTGAAATCTTCTACCTTGGAAATATTGAAAGCTTGACTGGACATAGCCCTGCTCTGGCGGATCTTGCTTTGAACATGAGGTTGGAGTACATGATCTCCAGAGGTTCCTTACAACCTCAACTGTTCTGTGACTCTAAATATCCTTGCACAGAACAGAGGAGAAAAGGGAAAAAAAACACTGGAATTTTCATCAAACTATATCCCAGGTGTCACCCTTGATGTTCTAGTAGGGTGAAACACTTGCAGGGCTTTTGCTTCCTTCTATCTGGGCATGCAGACTATACCAATGTTAAGGAGTAAAAACATATAGGCCCTCCAAGTCTGAAGGAGTTCCTGGATGAGAACTGTGAGGAACACAATGTAAAACAGAAAATTAAACAGAAAAGTGCCAATATTTGAAAACACTTCCTCTTCTTAGCAGAGACTTTAACCATAACAAATAACAATTGTTGGCAGTGATTTCCCCCTCATAAATTTCAATTCTAGTCACTAAACAATAAAACTTCCCAAACCAAAAGAAAAAAATCTTATATGATCATTTTAAATTCTGTTAGACTAATAGTTTATGCCAAATGAGAAAACTGAACATCCTCTGTTTTTTTTTTTGTTCAAAAGATGCTTTCAGAGTTCAGGTTAGTGCTGAAGTTCAGATTCAGAGGAACTGAAAATAAACAACAGCAAAAGCCTAGAAAGAATTTAGAATGTTTCTATAAAGGAATAAATTCCAAGAGTAGAAGTAAAAAGGTCAGACATGATTTCTTCCCTCACTTCATCTGTTCTCTACTACTCCTGTCATACAAAGCACAGAAGAGGAGAGCCTGACAGGGTATCTGGAGGTTTTCCAGGTCACATCAAAACACTGGTTGTACACCACATTTCTCAAGACCCTGCCAATACAAACTTATCTCAGGAGAAAATTTAGAACACCAAGTTGCTGAGGGGTAATGTTTTGTTAAGGTTTTTAATTTCTACAAGCACCAGTCACAGAATAAAGAACATACTACTGTGACAGGCACTGTACGTTCAGTTTTGCCCCATTACTATAAACATTCCATATTATGTCTACACATAAACACTACACCAAAAATTATTACCATACGTGCTGGGGATTTTGCCAGTATCTACGTGAGATATCTTCAGTTAGCACTCAAAGCCTCATGCATCTTATGACTGCCCTATAGTTAGGTCCTTTCATTTAACTGATGCACAGCAGCATCCAAAAAGCTGCTGTCTGCTCCCACAGAGTTCTACAACAATCTCTAATGGTCAACCAAGCCGTGTTCAAAACTGGCATGAGCTATTCCGAGCACTCACGAAGAGAGGATGCAGAGGAAGTCCCACGAAGAAACATCTGCAAGCCATCCTCGCTGTCACTGGTACTGGCCATACTGTTTCTCATCTGCATCACGGAGAGCTGAGAGCAGAGGCTAGGCTGGCGATCAATCTTTTTTGAAGCCTAAAGAAAGAAAAAAAAATTATTTTTAAAAAGGTCAGGTAAATTTAAAATAAAATGGAAAATAACTATTTCCCTTGTAGTAGATGCTCTGGTCTCAGCTATGATTATCTAAGAAAATTGCTAGAGCAGAAGATTGTATGCAGTGTACGTCAATTGGAATGAAAATAGAAAATGCCAGTAATATATTGGAATTGGAACACTGACTAGTATGAAACCTCATATTAATTATTCAATTTCAATTTAGTTTTGCACTGGAACTTTCATGTGTTTTCTTACAGAAAGAAGAAAAATGAAAGATGGAGGGGAAAAAAGGCAAGGTGAGAAGGAGTGTGCAGAGCAGCAGTCTCCAGGAGAGAGTAGTCTCCCAATACAATTCTTAGCACACATAGGAGGCACATGGCTACATATTCTTTCAAGGTGCCATACTCCAGAAATTACTTTCTGTCTATGTAGATATGAGTTTTATTATAGAAAATTACCCTGTAACTCTTTTTTATTGGAAAAAAAAAAAAAGCAGGTTTAACACACGCTTTGTAAGATGTATTTTATAGGTGGTATATTCCTGCTAGATCACCTTGACCTTACTGCATTAGTAAAGCAAAGCAGTGATCTGAAATAGTTTTGAGTATTTGACTGCAAGACAGTGTAATCTATTTGATTAACCAAAAAGCAAATTAAGCAGTGCTTTATTGCTATTGTTTCCCCTGCAATTCTTTCTTTTCTCTTTCTATACCCAGTATAAAATTGAGAAAACTTACAGAGCCTAATTAGGCATAAAGACATGACAAGTTAAGCCTGTTGTAGTCTGTAGTAGTGGCAGTCATTCCCCCAGGATAATTTTTGATCAAATTCACAACTTTGCAGAAGTAACTGTTTAATCTACATACAAGTTACCTACAGGTAATCTGATGAGAAGAATTTTTGCTCTAAATTAATCAGTACAGACAGAATACAAAAATACTGTATTATAAAATTATAAAGCTTTCCATAAATGATGGTGAAGGTTCTTCAAATAAATTATATATGAGAACCTTACAACCAGTACATGAATAATAAACAAGCAAACAACAAAAAAACCCCACCCAAACTGAAAAACCACCAGCAAACAAGTTACTGTCCAAATCTTCTAAAGTCACATAACTAAGTAAGGAAACAAAATGAAACTAAACCAAGATAATTAATATAACCATGACTACACCCAGACCACTTACCTAGACACTTAAAATACACTCCCCCTACAGGCAAAGAATGAGTTCTATTCAGACCACTTAATATTCTATATGTATTCATATTTATTTATATTTTATACATATTTCATGATTCCTTCCATTAACTGAATCATATCCACATAACATCTGCCCCCTTTTTTTTTGTATTTTCAATCCTCAAAGATGCTGAAATTATTCTTCCTAGAAGTCAGTATCACATAGCTGTTTCCCCTAGTAAAAAAATTTTTAAAGAAAAAACTCTGAAGCTTTTTTGTACAAAGGTACCAATTTGTTAACAAGAAAAGGTATCCAGGGAGAAGCACCTTTTTAGCTACTGGCCATCATGTCTAATAGATGGCTAGAAATATTTGCACTAGCCAATCAGCTCTGAATCTCAGTTACTCGTCTTTCATGTACCTGACTGTGCAAACTTGTAACAAATATTGCTTCTGACAGAAACATTGCACTGACTCACATCTTGGCACTAAAAGGCCATGAGAGTGCATTCAGCAGCTGATAGCAGCAGGTTAAAAAACGGTGCTTTAAGAGCACTTAAAATTGAAGTAAAAACACATTTGTGTGGGGGAGAAAAATTCCCAAACAAAACTTAAACCGCTTACCTTGTCATTTAAGGTTGGGTCATTCAACGAATAGAGTTTATTTGTAATATCTTTGCCAATAAGATACTTAAAGATCTCATAAAGAAATGGCTCAGACTCCAGAAAATAAGTCAGCCTTTCCCTGGACCAGCACAGGAACTTGCAGTTATCATCTGCAACAATGGTGACCTGAAAGAAAATACATGCTCAGAAATAGCACATTTTAAAATATTTTAAGACTAGCACGTTTAAACATGCTTTAAAAGAAGTGATACCATTTTATTTGTGCCTCCAGTTAAAATAACTGTTAAAACCATAAAACTTTCTAGTACCCCTTAGAATGTTGTGATTGCAAATACAAAAAAAAATCTCACACATCTATTATCATTGTATTTTTAACTGATATGTGCAGCCAGTTTGTTTTTCAGAAAACCTGGGGGAAGGTAACTGGAGAAAATCTCTCAGGAGTTCCCAAACTGTAAAAGCATTTATTTAAGAGGAAATTTACATATGAAGTCAGTCCTAGTGGTGATGACACTACTTGAATCCCAACAGGCCTACATGTTGCTTGGGTTTATTTTATGCCACCAAGCAGGAGCAACTTCTATCATCCAAAGGCCTCCATCAAAGAATTTTTAGTGATTAAAAATAAGTATTTCCATCTTTCTCTCTTTACTGTCAGCCCTTCTGATCCCACAAGTACCGCTTTCTAACAGTTAAGTAAGGCTCTGTTTGCTCAGTTACTGATAATCCAGTTATGGGTAGCTACGGGGGAGCTTGCACCCTCCCATGGGAGGTTGGACCTGCCAGGTTTGTCCCCCCGGTGCCGGCAGAGGGCAATGGCACACTGAAACCCACACCACTTGGTGATACCCAAAAGGCATGTTTTGAAGGGGGAAGTCAGTCAACCTATGAAGAAATCAGGTGCTCTCTTCTATTACAGGATAACATGACCTCCTGAAAAAATTTAAAACTATCTATAAAGTCCAAGGAATAATGGGAAACTGTCATGTATCTGTGGACTTTTTACTTCACAGTGTGTAATATAAGCCCACAGGCTGAGGAAGAATTCACCAGCATTGCCAGCAGATGGGGTCCTTAAGATTGAATCTGTGTACTCTTGAAACGGCAGCAGTGACAGTATGAATATGGCAGTAACAAGCAGAACTCACGAGTGAAGGATGTGCATTGCACCAGATTGCATTAACTTGTAAGGAAGGCAGAAGCTGAGGCACGAACCTTTTCCCTTGAGAGGGACGAACTCGTATCCAGTCCCTTACAGGGAAAATGGGTTGTGCCAAGAGCGCAGCTGTGCTGTGGGACATCTCACTGCTGCAAAATGAATGCATCCCCTGGCATTAAGCCTCGCATTTGACTGGAACATATGACCTCAATCACTGATTTTAGAGCCAAGTTGCTCTCCCTCCCTCCCCTTCTGCCAGGGTATCAGTGTGGATGTACCCAGTCGGCCACTGTCCAGTCATTATTACACACATCTAACTAAAGAATACCAAGTACGACATTAAAAAATAGCCATTTTTATGGGAAAAAAATAACTTCTCTAACAGTATTTCCACCCCCCCACACAAGGCTATAATAAAATATATCCTTTAATGTACTAGCATAATTACACTGCTGGAGACATATACCCTTATTGTCCCTCACATGAATATTTTTATTCAAAATACTGAGATTATGTTGTTTTAACAACTTGCAAAATGGTAGAAGCATTAGTACGCTTTGATAAGTACCAATTTCCAATTACTAGTGCCTGAACTTTTCATTATTACTATAATGTTTTTTTCTTTTCTGTTTTTGAACCAGTGACGAGACCTGCTCATATCATCTCTTTTTCCAGCAAAGCCACCTCTTAAAGTATTTGTCCTAAACAATCTCTTAACACAAAATGAACTTGGAAACACTGAAAGAGAGCAGAACAGCAACAGTCAGACTGCTCAGTCAATACCTAATGACGCATTAAATCACGATCATAATACTGTTTTGGGGCATTTGTTATTCTTGATACGGTCCATCTTCAAACACCAGTACTGGGAAGTCAACAAAACTGTGCAAGTCAAACAGATCACCACTGATCAAATTTATACTCTGGGTTTTTTAATGATCTCATCAGCTCATGTCCAGTGACATTTAAAATGAAGTGTACCTGGAATTTCTCACCCCGGTTCATCTGTGTTGATCGAAATTCAGGAGAATCTATAAAGGCACAGGGGTAAATATTATGCAGAAAATGCCCTCGATAAGACACCTTCATTCTGGAAACAAAAATGCATGAAACAACATTTTAAAATCATGGAAGTTTGATTAATTTAATCTAAATTTGGATATGATTGTTGACAATAGTAAAGCAGTACGCAACAGGAAAAAAAAATATTCATCTTCTGGAATATCACTATCCCGTTTTCTGTCTAAACCTCCACTGATCCCAAGCAGAACAGGCTGCCAGCCAAACAGAAATTTGACGAAAATGGTGTGTATCCTCAAAACAGTGTTATCCAATATGAGAAAAGTGTTTTGCAGAGTTATGCTATACAGCCAGAACAGAATTAGGCTTCTTCTAGATAGCTTGGTGGTAATGAGTAAGAAAAACAATGAAGCCTGACATCATTGTTGCTGTCAAGAGAAACTGGTTAAAATATTGGCCAGAATTTAACATGACTTTCAAGATTACAGCTTGGTCATGGGCATATATTTTATCCTTTCTCACCTGGGCTCTGTCAGCCTCTGGGCAGTGCACCTGTCCCTTTCTACTTGCATGTACATGTGCAATGAATCAATTCTAATATGCCTGCTGTTTTAAAGTCTACTGGAGGGATACTTTTCCTTTCCTCATGAACAATATTTTGTAACCTTAAAAACTGAGAATGCACAGAAAATATAACTTAGGTATCTAAAACTGAGACAAAACTCTTGCTTGTTCTGCAAGACATTGCCTTTTATTTTATACAAATATAATTCCCACTAAAATCCATGCAGTTGCACATTTAGGTGGATACCTAATATGCTCCCAGTAAGAGACATCACTTTCATCTCAAAAGAGTGTCACAAAATATTCTATACCTATAGACTATTTGGCTATAGACTCTTTGTTATAGACCATAACATGCTGCAAAGAATAACATCAAAAAAGCTAACAAAAACCTCAATAATTTTCTAATCTATTCCACCATCACACGAAACATAAGACTGTCCCCAAGCTTTTATAGAACCTACTTTCCCTTCAGCAGGATGCTTAGCCTATCATCAACTGATGTTTTATCTTCTGCTGCATAGGCTTGCCCTGTCTTTAAAGTCTGAATGTTGCAGAACTGTCCAGTTAGTCTTTGGAAGAGCTCTGGAGGCACATGGAGAGGCTCAAACATTCTCTTGTAGAGGCTGCTAAGTTCCTTCTCTATCTTGATCTAGATTAGATAAACAAGAGACATCAATAAACACAGATGCACTAGTTAAAAAAGGGTAAGACTGCACACATGCTTTAGTTGCTCTGCCTGAAAAAGAGCTTTAGCTTCATTTTGCTTAAGTAAGGAAGGAAGTGGTAAATGTGTGACATCTATCCACAAACACTGCCTATAACAAGGTAACCAAAACCTTATCTAAAATTAGCCAGGCCGGCAATACAGATGCTTTAGAATGGTGTCCCACCCAAGAGGCACATTAAATCAGACACAAGGAGTCTTCTGAGACTTCTGTTGACGTAACAGTGAATAGGACTTGAGCAAGAATTACACAGATAGCCTTTCACACTACATGCATGCGTCACTCTGGCTATCTCTCAGGCTCTCCCGGGAGCCCCTTTCATCCCTGAGCTTCTTGGCTTACTTGCAGTAGAAAAGCAAGTCCTGAAAAACAAACCCATCATATTGAAACCACATGTGGTGAGGGAGGAAAAAAAGAAAAAACCAAAACATTGCCAGCTGAACATCCCACATCTAGGAGCCCACCCAAACTCTGGCAGCAGCAATGAGGGAAAGGAAGTTGGCTGAAATCCCAAGCCTGGAAGTCTTTCCTGAATGAAGGCAGCAAGGAACGAAATAGTATCCTGGTTTTTCTAAAATCTGAGGCAGCCTGAACAAAGCCCGCATATTTGCTGTGAGGAAAACAAATTAGAACAATAAGCATCAGATAATGAAGAAATAAAATACGCAGAGAACAAGGAAAAGCAACCAAGAAAAATTGGCAGAAGAGAGGGAGCCACACTTCTAGCTCATGTTCAACTTTTCCTTCAGGAGACGCAGGTCCTTTTCTACAAAGCTGCTTTCTAGCTGGCTGGTCCATTGCATATGCTGACGCTCGTGGTTATTCCTCCCCCGGTGCAGGACTCTGCACTTTTTGCTGAACTCCATGAGGTTCCAGTTGGTCCATTTCTCCAGTCTGGTGAGGTCCCTCCAGATGGTTTCCCAACTTTCTGGTCTATCAGTCACTCCTCCCAGTTTTGGTCATCAAGGGTAGACATCTGCCCCATCATCCAGATCATTAATGAAGATGTCAAACAGGACCTAGCACTGGCCCTGAGATTACACTGCTAGTGCACACACCACACACTAGTATGTTTAACACACACCTCCAGCTACACTTCTTACCCCTGATTACCACACTCAGCCCAGCCATTCAGCTAGATTTCAATCCAGCTCACTGTGTCCTCATCCTGCGCACACGTCAACAGATTCTCTACCAGGATTTTACATGAGATAGTGTTGAAATTAAGGTAGCAAATATTCACTATTCTCATCTATCTGGTCAGTCATTTCATTGTAGAAGATTATCACAGAATGGCTTGGGTTGGAAAGAATCCTAAAGATCACCTAGTTCCAACCTCACTGCCACAGGTAGGGTTTCATGCCTTTCACTAGACCAGGTAGCTCAGAGCTCCATCCAGCCACTGAACACTTCCAGGGAGAGAGCATCTACAGGTTCTGTGGGCAACCTCTTTCAGTGCCTCACTACCCTCACAGTAAAGAATTTCTTCCTAGTATTTAATCTAAGTCTACTCTCAGTTTGAAGCCACTCCTCCTTGTAATGTCACAACATGTCCTTGTAAATACTCTCCATCTTTCTTGTAGGCTCCCTTCAGGTACTGGAAGGTCATAATTAGCACCACCCCCCCAACCTTCTCTGTTCCATGCTGAACAATCCCAGTTCTCCCAGCCCTTCCTCACAGGAGAAGTGCTCCATCTCTCTCATCAGAATGCTGGAAATCCTCCTCTGTACTGGGGACCCCAGAGCTGGATGCAGTACTCCAGGTGGAGTGTCACAAGAGTGGAGAAGAGGAGCAGAATCACCTCCCTCAACCTGCTGGCCACAATGCTTTTGATGCAGCCCAGGGTAAAGGCTTTCCAGGCTGCAAGTGCACATTGCCAGCTCATGTCCAGCCTCTCATCTACCAACACCCCAAAGTCCTTCTCACCAGGGCAGCTCTGGATCTGTTCACCCTTGAGCCTGTACTGGGATACCGCACTAACCCAGATGCGGTACCCTGCACTTGTTCTTAAACCTCACGAGATTCCCATGGGTCCACTTCTCCAGCTTGTCCAAGTCCCTCTGGATGGCATCCAATCTTCAGGTGTGTTGTGTTGAACAACTCAATTTGGTGTCATCTGTAAACTTGCTGAGGGTGCAATCAATCCTTTTGTCTATGTCATTAATTAAGACACTAAACAGCACTGGTCCCAGTCAGGACTCTCAACCATTGATCACTGCCCTCAGGATGCAACCATTCAACTAATTTCTTATCCACCTAGTATCAGGTTGGTTAAGCATGACTTCCCCTTGGTGAATCCATTCTGATGACTACTGATCACCCTCTTGTGCTTCATGTGCATAGAAACGATTGCCAGGATTATCTATTCCTTCTTAAGAGATCCAGGTGAGGCTGACCAGCCTACAGGTCCATGGGTTCTTCTTCTTGCCTGTTTTTGAGGAAAGGAGTGGAACTTGCTTTCCTCCACTTCTCATGTACTTCAATCAGTCACTATGATTATTCCAAGACTATCAGGAATAGCCTCACAGTGACATCAGCTCTCGTGGGTATGTCATCAAGGCTCATGGATTTACAGTGTCCAGTATGTCACTTGACCTAAAGTTTCATCGGTTTCACACTGAATCAATTGCTAATTAAATCTCACACCAGCAACTACCTTTATGTAAAATCTAGGTTAGGAATTTCCTGTACATTTCTTACGGCACAGTCTTTAATATCTCAGCAGACATCTACATGGACAAATCAAGGAATAAAAATTAACCAGCAAGAGAAACTGTATTCTGTTGGGGATTGTCCTGAATTATTAGATTTCAAAATATGTTCCATATAACTGTGAAGCCAGATGACTATTTGTTTTGCTGGCATGTTCTCCAGGAACTCTTTCATTTTTAACAGCTATACCAATTTAATTTGCACCTCATTCTATACATGACCACTGCAACTCAAATATATATCTTCATCTCAAAAAGGAATCTGAGTAGCTTCCAAGACTCCTGAATTCAAAACCATGCAAACAAGACATGAGGGCAAATTTTGTCCATGGAGTGTTAATGCAATCCCTTAACTAGTACATAATTCACGTTTTGTGATCTTCCTGTAGTGAATAATGCTTAGAGAAATCAGGTATAACTACTTTCTTACAGACTGAGCAGGCTGGAGACTAGCTGTACTTCAGATGGTCTTCCTTGTATCAGATTATTCACCTCTCACAGGCACAGCTGACTGCTCCTCCAGTCATGCTTGTGGGTCATATTCCAAATGAGCCATATGGGTAGGTGCAGTGTTTTGTTCAGTAGTGGTTGAAATATTCTGGGGTGATGCCAGATCTCCAAGTCAGACACTGATTAGACTCAGCTTCCACTCAGACTACAAAAGCCAAATTTGTAAAGCTCCAAGGAAACAAAACCACAGAAATAGTCTTCTGGTCAGAAAAGAAACCCACTGGGATTCTGCATGCTCCATTTAATAAAATAAATATTTAACAACTGAGCGTATCAATTATTCATTTTGTAATACGACTAACTTGTAATTATTCTTCCATTCCTTTCTTTCCTTAAAAAGAAGGTATGTGAGGATGACCAAAACTGACTTGAGATGGTCAATATAACAGCTGCAGAAAGTCTCCTTCAAAAATGAGTTCCTAAGAATTTAAAATTTTTTCCCCATTCTTTATCTTCCTATAGGAAAAACACTTTAAAAACAGGCTTTGTGTTCGTAGAAAACATGTAAGACAGCTAAAAAGTCATGCGTGACTACTAGGCATCACTTCAAGTAAGCTTGTTGATCATAGTCTGTAACAAAGATTCATATGATTTTTTAAATAACTACTGAAATAATTACTGAAGTATTACATATTACACCAATTAAAACAGTACAATATTTTTCATGCAGTATTCATAAATACTGTGATTTCTTAATGGAAAGAAGATTATTGAAATTAAGTCTTAATACACAAAGAAACAGCACTACATGGCCAGTCTATCAGAACTAATTCTTGACTAAGCTTTTAAGTTGTACAGGTCATGCAGCTCTGTTGATGGTAACCTTCAGATGAACCTGAGCTCCATAGTGGAGGAACAGCACTGTAGGTAAAGCCTTTGTCAACACATGTACTCAAGTAAATGTACTCAATTTATTATCTTGTTGCAGACATGAATTTAACCCTCATCCTATTTTTATATGCTGTGGTTGCCTACTGGAGTTTGTCCTGCAGTTTTTAGTCATGCTGGTAAAGATTTCAGCCTTTCTACCATCTCTTTCATTTCCTTTAAATTCTTCTTCCTTTGGCAGCTTGCTCTGCCTCTACTTAAGTTGAAATCCTTAACACACACAGCATTTTAGAACAAGTCCACCAAAGTCTATTTTCCTACATTTCATTTTCTGCTGAGAATTCTAGTTTATTCTGTGTAAGAACAGCTGCGGTTTTGCACCACATGCATATGACACACAGTTTATGGGAGTGCCAAGCACCTCAATTCTGCTGTGGTTTCATTGCTAATGGGTAAGGGCTACAGAAACACAAAGAAAAGTTCAAAGGTAGGTCCTTCAATTCTTTCTCTCTTAGATGTAATTTTTTTTTACAAACTTCGATGACTGAGTTTATCAGTCAAGTTTCATGTTCTTACACAATTCCTTCTTTTTAAATTCATCTGTAGAGTAGGACTTCTACCACTTAACCTAACTCCTATAAATAATTCTGCTAATAATTTTACTAGAGGATTTAGTGAAAACAGCTGTCTCTTCATCAGGATGAAGTCTATACCATAATGCACAAAATACCCCAGCCTATGCAAACATAGCTTTTAGTAGACAACTATAATTACAGAAGGATGTTTTTATTTCTTCATTCAGTATTGACTTACAAACTGTAAGGTTAATTTTTTTTTTTTTTACTCAAGCACATGACATCATCCTCCTAAGATGCTTCTTCACTCTCCGACAGACTTCTATTTAGATTTTTTGAAAGGGTTGGATGGGTGCAAATAATTGAATAGGCTAAAATAATAGCATTAGCAACACAAACTCAGGAGGAACTTCCCCTTTAACTAGTAAGATTACTATCTGAGAGCAATTTAAACTAGAAACATTTACTACACAGCTTAAAACTAGCTAGACGTTTGTAGATACCTCCTGGGCAAGACAGAAGTCAAGCTTCATGCTGCTGTGCCAGGAAAGGAGCAAGGTGGTAATTTCTTAGCTGCTTTCTGGCACAGGCTGTGCTGATTTGGTGAAGAAGTTATTTCCAGACAGGTTGGTTTGGGTTTTTTTTGGTACTAGCTGTTACATGTTTCCAGAGTGTGTCTCTGGAACACAAAAGCATTCTGCTGAAAATGAGTACCAATTCATTGGTTTGCCCAGCAAACATGGGCAAAATCTCCTTTTCTTGCATCTTACCCCAGACTGCTTTGTGAAATTTAGCTGTTATACATACCGGCCTTCTTTTATACACTAGGTATATGAAATGTAAAAGGTTGACAACCAAAAACACAGAATTCCAGATCATTATGTCCAACGCACAGCGATAAAGAGTAGCCCAAATGATGAACAATGCACATCCTGTAAAAATATTAAAAAAAAAAAAAAGAAGTTAGATTCCACCAAGCAATAAACATTCCTACAAAGTCATCAAGAATGCATCCACTGACTACAATTACAATGAAAACCACTATATTCTACAAGCTGTACTACACTTTGGCTCTTGGGATCATCACATGCAATGGTAGCTAAACAGCACAATGCTGCAAACAGCCACTGAGAGCAGGTTGACAGCATGGGACTGCAATAGTGAAGCGACAGTAACTCAGATCAGGACTGGGGAAAGCAGAAAGGTGCAGCCCATGACGATCCATTATGAAAAAGAACTAGAAAAGAGATGCAGAAAATTCTAACCTAAATAAATAAATAAATTAAAAATAATAAACAATTTAGAAACTTTATCCCTAGTATTGAATTAATTAGACAAACAAAAGCCTACAAATGAATGCTTATTGTTCATATCACTAACGTTTATATCTAATTAGAGAGCGAGAGTTGCATAAAAACTTTCTAAAATCATATGCAGATATATTTGAAAATTAAAAGGAACTATCATTGCAGCACTTTGACAAGGTCACAGAAGGAACCTGTATAAGTGAACTGAACCTCTATAAAATCAAAGAGAAAATTTCCAAATGCTTATTACCTTTTTTAACTGCCTTACTTTGAATAATGAAAATTGCTTTAAAAGATAAGGCATGCTGTAGGATTAGGGATTCCATTTTTAGCCTACAAAAGCAATATTTATCAAATGATAGATTATGCAACAGTGAGTCTCTCCCAGACAACTGTGAGCCTACCATCCATTAGAGAGATCAGAGATACATGTACCTTCAAGTTTCACGCGAAGACAAAAAGGAGACAGTGCCAAGTTGAGCATTCCTGTCCCCTTTCTCCCTGAAGATGACACTGAATTAATGAACACAGTATTATCTAATCTGTCTACGTTGTTACCTGATGAGGCAGCACTTACACATGGATCAGAAAAATCAAAATATAGTGGTTTTTGATCTGCTTATTAATTAGACTGCAAGCGACAGGAGAATAGGATGTCTGGAAGTATTGAAGAGGAGCAATATTTCGAAGCAGCACACAGGGGGGCAGGGTCAAAGTAAAGGGGACAGATACCTAGGAACTCATGCTGCCTACCAAGTAGACTTGCATCCTGCTGCCACCGCAGTTTGCAAAACTCTGATTCCAGATCTGCTCAAAATACTACAAGAACTACAGATCAAAGCAGCAGGCTCAGCGAGAGCAGAGCTCCCTTTGCTTTTAAAGCCAAGCACTACACAGATAAAAGGTCCTGCAATGCTCAGACCCTCTGTCATCAGTGCAATTTGTTTTAAGAAGTTACCCTATAACAACTATAAAATAGAAAAGGCAAGATCATTGTAAATACAGCAATAGAAGTTCTATCATAAAATCGGCCCACACTATTATACCAATAAGCACTCACTTTAAAAACACTTAAGCATGCTCTTATTGGATTGGATGTATCTTTCTTGCACTGTAATGACTCACTACTTCTTTGATCACAAGGATCTTGTCCTACACAAGCTGGACAGCTGTGGGACTGCAAGTGTTACAAATGAAACCACACTTGCTCAGTCTCAAGCATGCCAAATTTAGGTTTTCCTCTCAAGTCAAATTCTGGTATCACAAGATTCCTACAGTGGTAGAAGAAGTGCTACTGACTTCAGAACACAGACTGCACTCCCTATCGGAAGGCTATGGTAAATTTGCAACAAAAATAACTCTGGTGACCCACAGGTGCCACATGTTTGAACATAAGATAAGAGAACATGTGGGCTGACAGCAAGCTTCCCAAGGAAAAGCTAACCTACTGCAGACATAATAAGCCAGTGCACCGGCCAATATATAATCCCAGTACTTCCTTGAAACCTAAAATAAAGATTTTAGAGATCCATAGACACAACTCTGATTTGAAGTTTAGTGAATTTTAAGCAGTCAGTCACATCTGAAGTTAACGGTGTCCACTTGTTTCCAAGTTGACATATTCATAGGTTTGAAATTGTAAGTTACAAATCTGCAAAGTTTTAAGAGTCAAGGGTTATATCACCTCTCTAGAAAAGGTATGTTGGGGTCAAAACAGGCCCCAAGTTAGACCAAAACCATCTTCAGAGTACAACAACCATTAATACAGGCAGTAATTTACAATAAACTGCGGGGACCAGCTCCGTAATGGTCAAGAACAGGCATTTCTGTCACAGGAAGGTTGCAAATCTCTCGAGAACAATTCTCCTACCTATGGTGAGCAGGCCTCGCAGAAAAATCATATGAAGATTCAAAGTAGTTGGAATAACCAGTCCAACTGCAAAGCAAATATTTGCCACGTGGAAAACAAGATGATGAATCTCTTTCCAGTTTTCACATGCAGTCTCATTAAAAGGCTCAAGGGTGGCATTTTTAAACTCTGGAACAAAACTTAGTGGAGTAACAGTGAGTGGGCTCATTGCTGTAGTATTCATCCTGGAAACTCCTGCAAGGAGAGGAAAACAAATTCACTATGCATTAAACTGAAATACAGTAGATATACTCATGGATTTTAGGGCTATTTTCTCTCTTCCGAGGATATATTTTCCATTATCATTCATGGGGAAAAAAAAAAAATTTACAAATGCTTTAAAAGGGTAAGCTAGATCTATAGTTCAGTAATGCTTTGCTGTCTCTTTCACTTAAGAGCTAGGCTTGAAGAATGGAACATTTCAAAATTTGGACTATATCCACACAATCAACAGTAGCTACTACGACTGTCATTGCTCAGGAAGCATCTCATGTGCCCTTCCTAGCCCTACACAAATAAAAATCACAATCTGAAATTGCATTTAGAGAACGTTACCTAGATGAGAATTGGGAAAAAAAAAAAAAAAAAAAAAAAAGGAGAGGCTTATGTAGCATAAGTCTCTTTTACTAGGTCTCCTTTATGGCATAGAAAGTCATTCTTCCAAATAAGGAATGTAAGATCTTAGAGGAGGAACATGTGCTGTTTGATTGATTTAAAAAAAGCCAACCAACCATATAAAAATAAAAACCAAAGAACCTCAACTTTTGGCTTTCTTGCACTAAATCTGGAGTTCTAAGCCATGCATCATCTTGCACACATTAACCAGAGCCCACAAAACACCCCCAAACCACTTTGAGGACAGTAAACAAAAAAAAAAATAACCATTTCTCTTCCCAGACGATCAGACGCTATTAAACCAGAAAGGGAGATGACCAGGCTGCTACATCTTTTAGGGAAACAGTTTGGTTTACGTAGTATGAGCAAGCTTACAAGACCTCTGTCTGTCTGTGGAACTCCTGGAGAAAAAGAGACAGCTAAAAACTATTTCTAATCTAAATATACATAGGGGGTTTTGTTGTTGTTGTAATAATAAAATATAGCATATATTCCTTTCACACCAATTAAAAAAAAATATCTGTGGGCAGGCAAATACTTTGCCAATACAAAATAAAAAATTACTACTAAAAACAAACTACAGGAAGAAACTGGAAGATTTCAAGACACTACCTTTGGAATTTTAAAAGCTGCTCACTTTAGGGAATCACAGTCAATGTTACAAGCATTCCAGGAGGTCTTAACCCAGAGCAGTTCCTAGCTGGAGGAACACGACTGTTCCTAGACAGACTATCAGAAACACAGGAGAACCCTTCTTCCAGCAAGGAATGTATGGTCTCTCACTGCCACAGCAGCAGAGATTATATGGAGCTGGGCTTGAGTCTCATTAATGAAATACATGCACTTCATCACTGAGGAACACGGTGGGATTTGCATTCAACTAAATTCTGCAGAGGCAGTGCACATCCCTGCTGTGTTACTGAATGTCTTGTAATTAATCTGCTCAGCAGACAACTCTGAGTTGCAGTTAACACAGTCAGTATTTCCTCCAGACTTGAATATACTCTACAGCATCTCTGCTACTTGAGAGTGCTTCTTGGGGCTGTGAAGCAACTTCGAGTTGCTTTTCTTTTATTGTCTCCCAATCAACCTGTGTACAAAGGGATAAGCAAGTTGGACAGTTTCTGAAATTAACCAGTGTTTTAAACCCCTTTTAAAGTAGTGGGAAGCAAAAAAATCCTCAACCTTCTCTGTCAGTTCTTTTTTGATGACCACAGGCTGTCACAGCTAAAGTGTGCTCCAGAATATGCAGAGGCATCTTGCAGGATCAAACACTAGCATGGACACAGTGTATCCATATCCAGATTTAAATTATTTTCAAAGACAAACAATTAGATAACTCTTTACCAAAATACACAGTTCACATTTCTTAGAAGGTCACTTTTCTCTTTTTATTCCTACATTAGTTATTCACAAAAGTTAATTAAAATGGGGGGTTTTGTCAAACAAACTCTACACTTAACTGTTATCAAACATCAGGTCCATCCAAACACAATCCTACTGTCTTTCAGCTCTTTCAAATGAAATAATTGACAGATTCATGAGAGCAGTTTCACTGTCCTGACAAAGACACTCTCATAGGGAGCCAAAGTGTGAGCCTGCGCGAGGCTGCAGGACCGGCATTTTAACAGGCTCATAAACAGAAGGCAATTGCTAACTGGATAACTATGTCTGTGCTCATCTTACACACATCTCATCATGGTGCTCCTGTTGTTTTCAAACAATATAAACTCCCTACACTGGAACAGCAGGCTCTCTAGATCTTTTAAAAAAAGTCCTCTGCTGACTTTCTACCTATATTCAGCCTTTCACTGCCCAGTCATCTGCCAGTAAAGGCACTGCTTAATATGCCAACAGAACAAGTAAAGACAGCCAAGCTCAATTCAAGATCAAAACAGGCTGCAAGAAACAACTTCAGCTGCATCTGATGACAAATCAAAGAAGCCTTCCAGATGTTTCATTTTTTAATAGCAAAGTTTTGTACTGCATCACTGTGAGAACAGACGCTACCTTACTCTTTTAAGACTTGGTTGTAAAGCATCACACATTTGAAGACTGGAAACCAAATAAGCTGAATTAAATATACAGCACAGGACAATCTCATTCTCCTCCCAGTCCAGCAAAAACACTGCTTCCCTTGCTCTTCACATGTACTGATGACACAAACCACTAGCCATAAAGCGCTGTTATGGGAAGCTGTTTCTCCAACAAACACAGACCAAGTTGTTTAAAGCATCTGCAATTTTAAGAGGATGTTCAATGCTTCCAAAAGTCTGAGCTACCTACTTAATTACCTAAATTACAACTCAGGAACCTAAATCTACCCACCTCCACTTTTTTAATAAGCTGTCTTTAATACCTCAAAGCTTTTATCTGAATGCATTCAAACTTCCCTTACTACTCACAATGACTGCAGCTCCCCTAATGTACTGGAACACAACAGAAACCTGCAGAACTTCTCTGTCACAATGGTATTTTAAAGCTGACAGAAACAGATTGCAAAGTTACACAAGGACAGATTTTGACACTGGCTCTGAATTTCAACTACAGAGCCTGCTTGAGAATAAACAAAAAAAGGTAGACAGGCAGAGTTATGAGCTGTAACCTTAAGTGTTTATCTACAGGTAACACCAGAAAGGCAAATATCCAAAGTGTCATAAACAACACTGCTGTAACGTTTAGATCAATTCTTTAGTCCTACCATCTACTGTTGTCAAATAATACTGAAGAGGGAGGAGAAAAAGCTGCAGACCAACAAACAAACAAGCAATTATAATTTCTTATCTTCTGCTACTTCAGAGAGCCAAAAATTAATTTTGAAAGTACAGAATTAGATCTCTAAAACTTTAACTTAGGGTTATATCTACTAAGAATTAATATAGCACAAGACTATAGAGTCATGCTTAAGTCTTCAATGCAAAGACATGTATTAGTATCAGGAGTTACAAAAAACCCCACATAGTCAAATAATTTTGGAAAATTTGGGTAAATAGCATCCACTGAAATTAAAGCTTTATGGAACATAGGACAAACCATTAAAACAGTATTTTTTAATATCCAGTAATTTGTCCATCATATGGATTTAGATTCACCAAACCAAGAATTTGAAATCTCAGCTGATTGAGAACTCAAGCCAATTTGTTGTCCAAACAGGAGGGGGGGGGGGGAATAAACTAAAAAAATCCAAAAAAGCCACAAAAACAAACAGACCAAAAAACCCTCAGTGACACTTCAACATTACATCTATCTGAAATTAGTATTGTTAACAACAAAGCCTGTTAATTTTTTTTTCTGCATGAACTTGATAGAAATTTAAGATAAAACATTTTGGGGTTAGGTCAGAATATACAAATTCTCAGAACATAAATGAGGCAGCTTACTCTAAGATTTTGCTATGCTCACAACAGCTTCATACAAACAGCCAGACTTCTGAAAGTCATTCCCAAAAGATTTAGTGTCCAAATATTCAGACACAGAGATGACTTTAAAACAAATGGTGATTTTATGGATATCCACACAACATTCACAGAAGACAGACATGGCAGAAAAGTTTAAAGCAGTTGGCTCTAGTATGAGAACCAGTCAGACAACCTGACACAGGACAGTGCTGAGTGTCCCACTCACATCATTATCCACTTCATTGAGATTATTCCCACAGATTTGCTGGTCAACCTTATTCAAGTGAGCTTCTTAAATCTTTGCCTGAGTATGTTTGTATATCTTTACAGTCAATGCAAATTTACAGTCCATCATTTATGTAGATGGATTTTGTGAGTCTAAAAGAAAAAAAAAAATTCAAGCTCAACCTTTTTTTTTTTTAATTATACCTGCAGAATTTTTAACTACTTTTCTAAGGTCTTGTAGTACAGGAGTTGCACGGACAATTTTGGCAATTGATAATTCTTTTGTCAGCTGAAGACAAACTACTAGAGCTAACATAGCCGAGCTCATTACAGTTTAAGTTACCAATTTCCTTTTTGCAATGCCGCGGAGAGCGAACGGGAAGATGGCATAAGAAAAGATGCAAATCAATATGCTCCTTATAGCAAGTATAATTTAACTGCATTGACTACACAAATTTGTTAGTTGCTTTAGTCACTTTCCGCAGACTGAAAATATTACATTTTTCCTAGAACAGTCAACAAAGTATTCACACAGTGAGGTACGCTCCCAGGTACGCTCGACTTGATAGCAGCGGGGCTGTGCTGCGGCGATGGAACCTCAGCTGCGTTTGGGCTCGCTGTCCCCTCTGGTCACATCGCTCACAGGTGCGCCGAGAGCTGAAACTGAGGGGGGCAACCGCAGCTGCCACCCCTCAGCCCTGCTCTGCGCTCCGAGGCTTCATTTTAGCCCACAGCGTGCGAACACCAAACCCACCATTCGTACGAAATAGTTGTGAAAACATTAAAAAAAAAAAAAAAAATGAAAAGTATCACGCAAACCCTCCTTTTCCTCCTGCCCCTCCCGCCCAGAGGGCCATTTCCAAAGCTGCAACCCCACCAAGGGCCATCGCCCGGCCGTGCCTTCCCGGGGCTGTGACCGGGCGGGCAGGACCGCCCGGCACGGCGGGACCCGAATGCCCGGCAGAGGAACGCAGACAGCGGGGCAGGACGGCGCCTTCTCCCCGGTCGGCGGGCAGGTCCACAGCGGAGCCCGGCGCCCGCCCCTCCCGCCGCCGGTGGAGAAGCACCGCCGGGCCCCGGGGGCGGAGGGACCCCGCGGCGCTGCTCCCCGCCGCGTTCCCCGCACTCCCGCTGCTGCCGGCGGAGGGAGGAGGCAGGAGCGCCCCTTACCTGCCTCGCGTCCTGGGAAAAGTTTCCCGGCCGCTTGCGACGGGACAAGACAGGGACAGCGTGGAGCTGCCGCTGCTCGGCGCTGCCGGCAGCGCGCCCCGCGGCGGGCACGGAGCGGCGGCCGTGACTAAAATAGGCAGCGGCGGCGGCGGGAGCTGCGGGCGGCGCCAGCGCCGGGCGGGCACCCACACCGACACCCACACCCACACCGACACCCACACCGACACCCACACCGACACCCACACCCACACCGACACCCACACCCACACCGACACCGACAGAGACCGACACCGAGCGGCCACAGCGCGCAGGCGCCGCCGCCCGCCCCGGGGGGCTGCGGGAGGGGCGGGGGCGGCTTCGAGCCCCGGGGGGCTGCGGGGCTCAACCCGGCAACCCCCGCCCGCTGCGGGGCCTGCGGATAGCGGGCAGCGCCTGAGGGAGGTGCCTAAACCAGGTGGGAGGAGCCGGCCCCGCAGAGGTGCAGCCATGCGCTGCAGGGCGAACCCCTTTGCTCGGGCAGCGTGCCCGGCCGCGGGGTGGTTAAAATTAGAAGGGCTGAGTTCTCCCCTAAACGTGCGGCAAGCGGTGTTGCCCCTACATGGAGCCACAACGGCCCTTACAGAGCCGCTCTTCTCAACTTGGCACCTGCGGTGGTTCTTTGTCACGAGCGTGATGCTTAAGAGATGTCACCAAGTTTGCTCGTGTGGCACTTTGACAGCTCCCAGGCACGACGTGCCTCCAAAGGGCGACGCTTGTGTCCCTGCACGTCGGCAGACCGCTCTGCGGATGTCCCGTCTTGCCCTCCCCGGACCACAAGCCTTGCAGGGCAGGCAAAGTAGTCACCAAGCCTTGCCCTCATCCCCAGGAGGTTGGTGAGAAGCATCCAGTGATGAACGACAGTCCAGATACAGCCTATGGGCAGCCCATCCCATCCCAAAACCCGTTAATGATAAATTAGGACTGCAAAGGCAGAAAAACCCTTTCAGTACATTCTGATGAGCTAGCTACAGAGTGGGGTTATTTCTTCAGCAGCCAAGAACATATGGTCAGCATTATACCTAAATATTTTTTGGAAAATAGACAGAATCCCGATTAATTTTTGAAGTAACTGTTTATACGTGCACACATCAACATGCGTCCCAAGAGGCTCTGCCTTTGCTATGATTGTTCTTGGCTTTACACCTTGGAGAAGAGATCTGGATCTTTCCGGGGATGCGTGCCGTAGGAACAGGGTTTTTTTGAATCTTGCTGCCTGGTATAAGATCGGATTTTCAAAAATATATTATGAAATAATTATGAAGGACTTGATTTGGGACTATGTTTCCTCTGACTGGGCAGCCATTTTTATGGATGTACTTGCTCTTTCCAAAGACATGCAGAAGAGCAAGAGAGCTGGAAAAAGGGTCGGAAGAGTGAATCAGGATAGCATGGCTACAGGAATGGTCACAAGTGATTGCATCTGGCATGTGTTTGAGATTGACAGTATTCAGCTTTGCTTGCTGGAGCAAAGCCAAGTAGCTTCCAAAAGCAGAACAAAGCAGAGCTCCTATCCCAATCTAAACTGACGTGTAAGCATTTTCTAGCACATTACTGAACATTATGCATTGGAGAAGCACAGTTTGTTGTATCTTCCATAAAGTTTTTGTACTTCTCTGATTACCTTCCAGGTCTTCTCTAATTTTGGGCAAAGCTTTAGTGGTAAACAGCATCTGCTTAGCTCACTGCAAAAAACGTTAGTTAGGAAAGCTTGGCAATGAACTGGTATTTGCAGCCATGTGAGGGTGTAGAACTTTGTCCTAACTGCAGCTAGGCTCTTGGAGTCTTTACATTTCAGTATATTTATGATTAGATGCCATTTCTGCTCCGTAGCAGAGTGGTAAGAACCAAGACTACATGGGTAATGCAGATGGTGGTATCTAGCACAGCTGTCAGCAGAAAGAGAGAAATGAGCAAAGATCTGAGAACTGCCCCTATATGCTGTCTCTCCAGGAGGAGCATAAGCAGATGGAGCATGTAGACATGGCTTTGATGGATTCTACCCACTTGTAGAAAAAAAACTTTAATAGAATCACTGGCATTATTTTATATAGGTAATAACACATAGTCCTAGGCAGATATTAATGGCCATAATTTTAATATAACCTTTAGTTATACAGATAATATTAGATAACAGTATCTATAGTTATACAGATAACAAACATTCTCTAAGTAAAATATATTAAGTAGAGTTTATCCTCTAAAAACAAGGTCTCATGTACCATGGGAGAATAGGCTGGCTTAATTAAATTAATGTTCTAATGTTCCACTATAAAGACTGGCTTAACCTCCTATCTTTGTCAATAAAGTTCAAGTTCATTGAAGTGTGCTAATATAAATTAATCTGTCAGAGGAAAGAAATAAAAACTATTTGCATTTACATGGAATCGGCTTCAGAAAGACAGATCAATTTTTAGAGATTTGTGTTGAATTGATGCATTTTGTTAGCGGAGACAGGTTTAATGGTTTTACAGTTGTTCATTGATGCAGGCTTGCTCTCTGCCACGTCTCTTTCTTCTGCTATTAAAGTCTTGATAGCTTAAGTACTTTTTCAAATTATTTAGTCATTTTCCACAGTAATAGTCCACAGTAGAAAATGTCACATGGGCGTTACAGATTTCTCAGTCTTGCTCCTTATCTCTAGGAACCGGCTTCATGATCCTCAGCAGTATACCCTGACCTCTTGAAGCCTGTCTTTTCTCCAGTATTTCAAGGAAAATATCATCCTGTTGATGATGCAGGGAGGTGCTGGACCTCAGCAGAGGTCAGGCAGGAGAACTTCCCTCTTCTGCTTCTCAGTGTAGTGTAGCCGAGCATCAGAAGACTTTATTAAGCGGATGATAAAGTAACTTTTTGTAAAATTGCAAGCGCTCTGCCTCTTCCAAATGAGAGCCTGATTCCGTAGCCTTTTTTAGGCAAAGTTTTCATTAAAGAGAAAAAATGCTTTGTATTCAGGATCCCAGATGTGCCAGGATGACAGGGCTATTTTCAGACAATGGCAAGATCTATGAAACATTTCCATTTATAGTTTCAGGAAGCGTACTCAGCATCTACTCTAAAATAATCTTTTAAACTCCCTCTATAGACAATGTAAGGGGGCTCCTTTAGAAAGTAATTAATCCTGTGTGCATTTGACAACTGTCTGGAGTGGGATAAAATACACTGGCAAATCCCATCCCAGTTGCTGAAATTTTGTGTCATATAACTGAATAATTACACATACTTTCCACAGAAAATTTATTTATATGGGTTTTGCTTGAAAGCATCCTCAAGAATTATGTTTTCTTAGAAGGAAGAAATGTATGTATTGTATGGCAGAGATTATGAATGAAAAATACTCTCTTGGCTTTTTAATATTCTGGAGGTTTATTTAAAAGGAATATGTGCATTCCGTGCATTTTTTGACTCAAGCCTCCAACAGACACTTTCTGATGTATAGTCAGGCAATTCTTCCAATGCAACACCTGCAGGGAGGGTGTCTCCTATTAATACAAGACAGGCTGTTTTCTTGTTTGAATCCAAGGTATAAAACACCATATCCCAGGGCTTCCAGGTATTTGACTGATAGCATAGTAAATGAGTATTGCAAACTTAGAGACAGGAGACAACTTTCTTCTAAATAATCTGTCTAAGCATCCGAGTTTTAACAGAAGCACTGGTTGTTGTAGATGTTTATCCAACGGGCACACGATCCTGAGGTATAAGGACAGAGTAAAATTGTTTGCTATTAAAATTATCTAAACTGTACAGAGTAAACAATTTATCCAATCGCACTGAACAATTATCCCTGTTCCCAAATTATGCATGAGCAGTTCCCTGCTGACACTTTATTTTGTATGTTCATTATTGGAAATTGCTCAGTGAACAATTTCTATGAACTGCTTGCAAGTGATTTTTCTGGGACTTGATGGAATGGCCTGCTCTGCTTGCTCTAGCTCTACTTAAATCACATGATTCCCCAAAAAAATAGGAGAGCTGATATAAAACAGGTTGGATTTCCTAAAGCAGGGTCATGACATGCTTGTCACTGCCCTGCCAGGGCAGCTTGCTAACCACACTGGGGGAATAGCAGGGAGCCTGTCCCCTGGGGCTTGGCTTCTTTCTGGGAATACAGGAATATCAGAGATGCAGTTTGACTACATCGCTTGCTGGAACTGAAACTGCTATCAACATGTTGCTCTCTGTTAATGTAAAGCAGCTCTTGCTTCACACAAAACTGAAAGACAAGTAACACGCTTTTTGCATTGCATCTGTCCCCTCATTGGGTGACAGCCCATTTTTTAGGGGTCCCTGCTACAGCAGATTTGGCAGCACTGGGTGAACTGGCTATGATTTTTCTGTTCCCCTTTTTGGACAACTTCCACGCACAAAGCAAGTTCAAAATGATCATGTCTGTGCTAATCCTGAAATAAATCCATTTCAACTGCAGCTCTCAAAGTTCTCTCTGCAGAGATCCCTGGGAATTTACGTGAGTCTGTGTGACTGTCTTTATAAACCAAAGGAATTGCAAATACTGTCGGAGTACAAATGTACACCTGATTTTGGGTGTTGGTACAATGACAATTAATGTTCTGTTGCAGTATTAGTCCTTTTTGGCTCTACATTTCAGTATTCACTGGTGGCTATTTTTGAGAAGCAAAGGCTAGGACTGAATCTCCAGGACGTTGCATATTAGCACCATTATCAACAATTTTGTAGGAAATTTTAAAATTATTGATAAGGATTTAGAATTTTATTTAAAGATTAGAAAAGGAACAATATTAGAAATTAGAAAAAAATATAAGAAGTTAGAAAAAATTAGAAAAAATAACAAGTGTTCAACTCATCCAAAAAGACAGACAGGGCTGAAAAAGAAAAATCTAACTTAAAATCTTGAAGAAGGAGGAGAAAAAGAAGTAGGGGGAGGCAGAAGATGAGTCTAAGGAATTATTTAAACAAGTGACAGAGAAAGCACGTAGGATTTGAGAGTGAAAACACTCCACACTCTGAGGGGGAAGAAAAGGTAAATAGATTAGCTCAGAAGAACTTTGTATAGGCATGAGGTAGCTTTTATAGATACAATTTTTTCTTTGCAAAAATACACACAGAGCAAGACTGGGGAGAAAACTGATAAT